AACAAATTACTAGGAACTGTAACCATTTTACATTTTGTCAGTTTAGTGGCTAACACTGTACAAATTTGAGTTCAGTCATATGAAAATGTATACGATTTTAAAAAGTAGGCGTGACACCATACCCCATCCTTAAACCCAACCATCTTTGGAGGATGAGCAAAATCCACTAAATCAAAAAGTTACAAATTGCTGTAAGAATTTTGGTATATTATTTAACAATATACACTTCTAGTTCTTCTAGTTGATTATTTGGAAAAGTGGCAAAAGGTAGATTTTGGTAGATTCCCAATGCATCATCTGTTGAGCTGCACCGTAATCATCACAAATACTGCAGAAGACCTATTGGAATTCACACGCACCCAAGATTCTCACAGAAATCAGTCAAGTTTGGTGAAGGAAAAATCATGGCTTGGGGTTACATTCCATATGGGGGCATGCAAGAGATCTGCAGAGTGGATGGCAACATCAACAGTCATACACAATATTAATTATTTTTCCACTGCAGCATGACTTTATATTCTATACTGTACATTATTAAGTGACGAGACTTTTGTCTAAGCAAAGTCAGACCTTACTGTCCTAATTAAATAACTTAAAACCAAGGCCTGATCATATTTTATTTTTGTAAAATAAGTGTAATCTAGAGGCCTTTGCCTTTCTTATAAGTCACTTCTGATACCAAATGATCAACTAGAAGTTATTAATTGCTGTTCCTAAAACTTGGATAGGTGACAAGACTTTTGTCAGGTAGTGTCAATCCTCTATGGGTAATTCTACAGTACGCTGTAGCATTCATTAACAAAAGTTGAAAATACTATAATATATACACAGTATTACTGTATAAATATACTTGTTACCAGTGGTGGAAAGAGAATCATACTCAAGTAAAAGTGCCATTACTTAAAAAAAAAAAAAAAGGTTGATGCGTTTACATGTAATTTGTGCATGTGTGTGTAAACAACATTATATAGTGCATTTAGTTATTGTTTAAGGCCATTTCAGTCATCATACAGTAAACATCTGTCATCTTCTCATCAGTGACGTGCATCTAAACAGTCTCTGGGTCATTGCGTGTAAAGTATCTTCTTGGACACCTTTAATGCTTCCAAACATTTTGCTGCATGTCTTAAGGTAGTTCTGTATGATGTGATTTACTTTCTATGTGCGATTCGATTGGACAGGAATCGCAGGAATTATTTTTCTAACCCCCACAGACAGAAAATAATAAAGTAGTGACTGCAGCTTAAAGGAAAGAAGTGGAGTAAAAGTACTGATACAGCACTAAAAAATGTACTCAAGGGAAAGTAAAAGTACACATTTTTAAAACTAGTCAGTAAATTGTAGACTACAGTCATTTAAGTGTTTGTAATTTTTTACTTTACCCCACTGCTTCTATAGTATGGTTAAAAAAAATAAAAACATAGTATTAACTAAACTACCACACTATAGCAATTTTATATGGACACATGTGAAATAGTATATTTTTATGCATCATGATTATAGAAATCCTCGTGTACATATAAATGAAGACATGTCAAGACACGTTTTAGTTTGAAAACATGGCTGCGTCTTGCTATGGGTGTTGACTTGTGCACAAAGGGACACTTGTAAAACTGATTTCGGTGAGAGTTCTGAGACAGCATAAATTAATTGTGCACAACAAAATAAAGAGAGCTTTATACTTTAGCTTTTTACCATGGCTTTCTTAACTCAGAACTAAAAACTAAATACTTTCAAAATTCGATCAGAAGAATTTGGATTCGGAAATGCCTTCTCATCTTGGAATTTTAAAGCTTTTGCACTTAGCACATCTCTTTTTTCATTCCATTTTGCTAAGCTGTAAACACTGAGAAGGTGATTGGTCAAAGAAAACAGAGTTGTTTTTACAGTGCTCTCCAAAGTGGACAAATCCTTGCGTTGTGTGGACCATGAAAATGGAGCCTTTTGTATAAAATGCCCTATTTTTAGTCAGTTGATGCAGTCATGTGTCTGTTAAGCCTCATAGTTTTCAGTTTTGTTGCCATTTTGGGTTCTTTTGATATCCTTGCTGTGGGTATGAGCTGCATCATCAGGACAGTTTTCTTGGAAGTGGTTTATTCATTTGCCGTATTTGTTTTAATGTATTCCTTATTCATATCACACGTGCGTGTCTCCTGCAGTAACTACTTTACCTCAATGTTCATCCATAAAAATTGAAAAGCCACAACATTATACATAAAAACGCAACATTATTTTAGTCATCCATACTTAACATCTATCTATCTATCTATCTATCTATCTATCTATCTATCTATCTATCTATCTATCTATCTATCTATCTATCTATCTATCTATCTATCTATCCATCCATCTATCCATCCATCTATCCATCCATCCATCCATCCATCCATAACCCATGTCCCTTTCCAAAACCTTTTCATTCAATGTTCCACGCTGGTAAAATGATCTTCCCATTCCCACAAGGACAGCAGATTTACTGGTATCCTTTAAACAAAAACTAAAAATTCATCTTTTCTGAACACCTGAAACCCGGTAAATAAAACCAAGACCCCTCTTCTTTCCCCCACCTCACCACACACAAACCCAAAATATAATTATCAGTTTTACAACTCAATTGTAAGTCGCTTTGAACAAAAGTGTCTGCTAAATGTCTAAATGTATGTCTATGTGGCTGTTTATGAAACAACAACTCTGCAGCTAAATGCAACTTATCCCATTCCATGAAATAAAAATGTAAATAATTAGGGAAAGTGAGGGAGAAATAACACCTCTTAGGTTGTCCGATCTGTTCTCCCCCATCCCTTGTAATACAGCAGGACAGTTTATTTTGCTGGCTTCTTTCTTGGCTTCTTTCCTGCATCCCTCTTTTGTCCTGTGAATGTTAGGTGCTGTCAGGCTCCATAACACAGACCGTCTCCTGCTTTTTGTTCTTTTCCCTTCCCGCTTCCTTCTGTTGTTGTTTCTCTCACCTCTCTCACTTAAGTCTCTAGGGGCTTTATTCTCAGGTCACCTCAACTGTAGTGTTGACAGCTCCAACCAACCAAACTCCTGAGGAGACTAGTGTGTGTGCGTGTGTGTGTGCGTGTGTGTGTGTGTGTGAGAGAGAGAGAGAGAGTTATAGGTAACGTTTCCGTGTCACGTATGCTCAGCAGAAGCAACCGCTTGTTTAGGCAGTTGAAGGCAAATTATCCCTGCTGAGAAATTTAGTAATTGTAACATAGCAAATGTATTTTCACAATATTGTTTCATATAGAAAGTTTATTTATTTTAGTTGGCTGGAATAAATGCCGTTTTTTATGATTAAGGTCAGTATTTTTATTGTTTTTTCAGTTGGCCACAGAACAAACCACTGTTATTAAATAATAGTAAATAATCTAGCTAAGCTTTTAAATTGCACTTTAAGCTTAATTCTAGTGTCTTGTTAAATAATTAGAGAATATTTTGTACTGTAATCATGGCAAAATAAATTAGTAACTGGAAATCAGTTATTAAAACTATATAAAATCTATCCAAACAGCACTTTATTAAGATTTTACATGAGGGCTAATCATTGTGCCTTCAAATGTGAATGTAGTTGTATGCAAGTACTCCTTTATTTCATGTTGGTCTAAATATGTGGTTTATGTGTGTTTAATTCATGCATTTATTTATTTTTTATTGCTATTTTTTTTTTTACCCACATCACTTAAGTTAGAGATAGGGCAGCTTGGAATTTTACCAAGCAAAGATCTCCCAGGGAGTTTGGAACAAAAGAGACAGAAATAGAGAAAGCGTCTCCTTACTTTTCAGGAAAAACAAGCCTTGCAGAAATGTGTTTTGAGAGAGGAAAAGGCTCTGCTATGGAGAACAAAAAAGAAGAAAAAAAAACAGACTGCAGCTGAAAGCTCTCAGACGTTTTAAGTAGTGCTCCCTATCTTTCACATGGATTATGCGCATCAACTTAGTCTGTATTGGCTGTCTAGAGTTGTTCACAAACCGCATATGAAGCAAACACATTCTTTTATGTTTTTTAAATGCAATACATAATACACTTTCGGTTTGTGGCATCATACATATTTGCATTAATGTTTTATCTATTCCGCCTCTTCAAGAATCATTTATAATAAGACAAATAGCATTGTAAGTTATATATAACATCATTCAGATGAGTAAGAATTTTTAAAAGTGTTTTTAAGGTTGCAATAAATCGTACCATACTGTATCGTATTGTACATCATATCATATATCATATCATATCATACCATATACCATATCATATATCACATCACATCATAATCCATATCATATCATATCATATCATATATCAAATAGATCATATATCATATCATATCATATCATATCAAATAGATCATATCATATCATATCATATCATATCATATCATATCATATCATATCATATCATATCATATCATATATCCCCTGGAAGAAAATAACCAGTACATCTTTTGTTAAAAATCAAACTGCATAAACAAATGGTCTCAATAAACAGACAGTGTTTGTCTATTGATTGATTGAAAAAAGTGAGCATAAAGTATTGGAAAACTAAGAGCCTCAGTATAAATAATTATATGGTAATTTCCATTTTCCTATTTTAATGCATCAAATGAAATCAGCCTTGGATAGCACAAAAGAAACCTTTCGAAAATTATTATTTTTTAAATGTTATGTAGAGTATAAATGATTGTATTATGTTGAAACTGGCAGCTTTATTCATTTTATAAAATCTAAATAATTTAATTAATAGATTAATTTAATAATATGATGGTTCACTGTGCAACTGAGTTAAAAATGTGCACATCGTATAAAGAAACTGAAGACTTCCACTATTAAACTGGAACACCATTGCTATCAACCGAACTGATTTTATCAAATTAAATCGTATTAGAAAATCTCAGTGGTTTTTGTCGGAACTACAATTATTACCACACCTAATCGTTTTACCAGCTAGCATAAGTCTTCATTTATAGTTCTAATCAACTCTTTTCCACTTTACTTTTTAGGCAAGTTCACATGCATTGAGGTACGGTTTCACCTGGAAAGACAGATGGGCTACTACCTGATCCAGATGTACATTCCCAGCCTGCTCATCGTCATCCTCTCCTGGGTCTCCTTCTGGATCAACATGGATGCGGCTCCTGCTCGTGTGGCGTTGGGAATCACTACAGTGCTCACAATGACAACGCAGAGCTCTGGTTCCAGAACATCCTTACCTAAGGTCAGACAACAAAAAGTATTCAGGCATGAGCGAGAGAGAGAGTGTTTTAGAGTTTATTGCCATATTGGCTATTTCATAACAACAACAAATAAAATGTATAGTTTTTTTTCTTATGAATCCAACACTGAAAAATATAATTCTAAGATGATTTATTGGATTTACTAATTTTTTAAAGTTAGGTTGTTGTAAACAATTTATTTGGGCTGAAATCAAACAAACAAATTAAGTTAAACATCACACATTATTTTGCAACAATTTTGCAGACATCATTTTTTTCAATGTATGAATTTCCCTGATTTTTACCTGACTTTCACTGATTAAAAAGCTGAAATTCCATGAACAAAATAAATAGAAGAACAGGATGCTGTTTTTAGGATGATGTCATTTAAAATTGGTTTTAGCTTGAATATCATTGTGTAAGACTGCAATAGCAACTATGAGAACAACAATAGATAATTTGCTTCAGATTAAAAAAAAAAAAAATGGTTACCAGTCCTTGAGCACTAGACTACCTTTGGAGTTTATAAGGTGCTTACTGTTTGTGTGGCTTCAAAGTGCTCCCTCTACCTTATTAATAGCTTCATAGATGATAGTTTTAAAAACTTTTATTACTTTTTAAAACAGTTTTTGAAGTAATTTTGAAGCCAAAATGTCTATTATGCTGAGATGTTAGCGTTAGTTAACGTGTACAGTCTGGTGACTGCATTTGGCTTAAGTGACTGCAAGTTTATGAGCATGTAAGGAATAAAATGAAGCTGAAAAGTAGCCTAATCTTAAGCATTTTGCTATAAGAGATATTGTATAGAAAAAAATAATAAAATGGAAAAGTAGCTGAAAAGTAGCCTAATCTTAGGCGTTTTGCAATAAAAGATATTGTATAGAAAGATATTATATATATATATATATATACATATTTACATATATATATATACATATATATATATATATACACACATATATATATACATATATATATACATTATAATTAATTAACAATTATCAAATCATAATTTATAAATCTAAAACTGTTTAAGATTCCTAAAACTTTTGAAATAAATTAAATTCATTTTAATATACAACTTATTTAACAATTCATATTTACAAATAATTCAAGTCCCTCCAGTTAAAATAGAGCACTGCAAAATTATGTTTTACTTCTCATTTAAGTAAATGTCTATGTGCAAGTCCATTGTGTTCAAAACAGCATCTTGCATAAATAACCTCATAATGTCTTGAATTAAAAGAAGGATTTCAAAAGCTGGATTTCAAATAGTACATTACATGAGCTCATATTAGCCAAAAAAAGAAACTAATTCAGCATCAGTATAGGGGTATAATTTTTACCAGCACTCATGCCTTTTCCTGCCATTCATCCTCAGTTATCATTTATTAATGCCACTCACAGTGGAAGGTATAAAGCGCATCCATGTGTGAAAGCAGGCGTGCAGTGTGTATTGCATATTAAAAACTCATAAATGCTACATGGAGTTATGCAACACAATTAAACATTCCAGAAAATGGAATGAAGACTTCTTTTTTTTTTTTTTTTGTAGCTGGTAGAGAATTATCTGATTCATGGCAGGGATAAGGACAGAAGTCGGACGGATCCCTGCACTGTTCAATAATAAATTGACTGGCCAGTCAAATAGTCTGGAATGAAAAATAAATAAAAAAGCTGAAGGCTAATTAAAGGTTTCTGAGAAGGCATGTGTTTGTGTCCTGCAGGTGTCCTATGTGAAGGCTATCGACATCTGGATGGCTGTGTGTTTGCTGTTTGTGTTTTCGGCACTGTTGGAGTATGCTGCAGTCAACTTTGTTTCAAGGCAACATAAGGAACTGTTGCGATTCCGGCGGAGAAGGAAGAAGTCTGGCAAGGTATGGGCTGAGATGAGCTGTAACAGGCAATCATCTCGCAAAATTATGCAAAATACATGAATCCGATTACTGAATGCACATTTACGATAAGGTATAAATAGCATTCCTGTGTGTTAGAGGCATTCAGGAATGCAGGGGTCTTGCTTTCTGGCAGAAACTAAAATGTTAATGATTTCTGTCCATTAAAATATAAAAAGGTAATTGCATTATTGATGCAAGTGTTTATGAGTGTTGAAGATGGATAGTGAGGCAAGTGATTTAACCTGCATTATATCTGTAAAAACGTCACAACTGCTAGTCTGATATTGATTTTACAAAAATATAAATCACAGCTTTATCAAGCATCACAGCCACAATGACACATTTAAATAATACAATGCATTTTTCTTTGTGAAAATAACTACAAACTGTAAAAATAACAATTAATAAAATGTCCATGATCATTTATAAAAACCTGAACTAATATTTTTGCTTAGGCTTTACATTTTTTAATGAGTTTTAAATATCTTAAAATAACAATAAAAAGTATATACATGGAGCAATATTATACACAGAGCAAACAATATTATACACAGAGCAAAACACTATGTAGGCCAGTGAGAGCCAAACGTCTTTTAACAAACATGCATTTTTATTGTGTAGAACACACAGTTAGACTGTGTTAATGTTACCATTTAGAATGTGTTAGCCACAGTATACACAGGTTTGCTGTGTTGATGCAGCCATGTTTATGAAAGACAATAATGACTTGTGTGCATGAATATATGTCAGTGTAAGATATTACAATAGCACTCATAAATAAAAAAATAAATACAAAATGTCTGACATATGTACATCCAATCACATGTTGTGTTTGAGATAGGGGAGTTGGTAAGTCCAGTTAGCCAATCACACATTATCTGTTGAGGACATTGTTTTGATGCACATCAAATAATTTATTTGATAAATACGTTTCTAATTTAGTTTATGCACACAAAAACACACAACTCTCCCAAAATGAGCAGAAAAATATGTGAATATTCTGTATAGCCTCCTTTTTTTTTTAGTTCAGTCTTTCAGACTAAATTGTTTCAGGAATTTCAATACAAAAGGAAATAAATGGCTTTTGTTTTGTTTTTGTTACATTAATATTGGATTATTATCCCTTTAAAACCACATCCTGTACAGTTTTGTTGTCTGAGTGGCGATCGTTTTGAACTAAAATGGTCATGTGGTCCACTACAGTGGACATGCTGTAAAATCAAAAATAAAAACAAAATGTAAAAACTCTAAATTGTAGATTTTTTTAACCCAAAGGATGTAGGAAATCACAGAAAAAAAAAAAGAAAAAAAAATCTTCGGGTCTCAGGAGGATAGCAAGTGACTCCCTCATATAGACAACTGCCACTTGCTTGACACCGAATGAATTAGTGGTTTTGAATATTGTATTGAAATGGCTCAACAGCAGAAAGTCACTTGGCTTCATCTGTTTTCAGTTAATCGTGTTGGACAAAATTTCCATATCAGCACATTCCTAATTATAAAGAGGCCACTTGTCACCAACTACTGATGTACAACAATATAAATTGCAGAAAGAGTCACCAAAACACTCATACCCACGCACAGACTGACAAGTTGATATGAACAGTTGATTTATTCAATTGTATATTTAAATAAAAAAGTAATTATATATATATATATATATATATATATATATATATATATATATATATATATATATATATATATATATACATATATATATATATATATATACATATATACATATATATATATATATATATACATATATACATATATACATATATACATATATATATATATATATACACATATATATACACACATATATATATATATATATATATGTGTGTATATATATATATATATATATATATATAATTGATAATACAAAAAACAAAAGGACTAGATTAATATTTAGATTTGCTCTGTCAGTTAAACATTTTGACAAGACTTTATAAATGCTATTTAATCATTTGAATGGCTTTTGTGCATAAACTCATATATAAAACTCTGTAATCACATTTATTTGAGGTTATTTTTTTATAATATTTAAAAAATTTATAACATACTATTAATAGTTGATATTTATATTTAAAAAAATAAATAAATAACAATAAAAACAAAAGATTTTGTCATCCAGTTAGATTAATGGTAAAAACAGCTAAGCAGTTTATCTGGAACATGGCATGCCTTGAAAAGCATAACCATAAAATCACATTAATATATCAATAGTCAACAATCTAAAGAGCAACTGCCTATATCTCCCCCATTCAAACTTTAGAATCCAATACAAACAAATAGGTTCCAGCACAAAGATTGCAGATTTTACTTTTAGCTCAATCAGACACATTTATTGATGATTCAGGATCATCTATAGCACATTATTAGACTTAAATCTAAGAGGCAAAAAAAGATGTTTGAAAAACTGACAGCATTTCGATTTCTCTTTTTTTATATATAATTTTAGAATGCAGTCAACAAAATGAATATTCTGGTGAACACATCAAGTAGATCTGATGCTAGGGCATTATTACACAGTAAAAGGTTAGTCCTGTATTAGTCATATTACAAAGACCATCTAAAATCATATATGTTTATGCTGAAATCACTAAAACCCCCAACTTGTTATTTGCACACATATACAGCACTGCCTTCTAGAGGACAGAATCAGTTAGTGCATATTTATGGCAAATCTACAGTAGCAACATTATAACCAGCATATTTCAAGAAATATTTTCAGGCTGCCTGCTGAACAGTACAAAGGTCAGATTGCCTTTGCCATGTCTGAGAGTGTATTAATACTGCATGTGGGCAAGGTTGTTATTTCCCCTGGCACTATGTAGCTGAAACATGATTGATATGAAGCTTAGCCAGTGGAATATATCAGCAATTTTTATAGGATGGGAAAGCAAATGAAATCCAGCAAAAAAAAATTTCAGCATTCTCAATTGAAAGATTCATGTTGTCAAACTAGTACTTACAAATTCAGCCAAATGAGGCACAACTAAATATTATTTGCAGCATTCTCAGATGAAATTGTCAGTCTTTCTTTTTTACTTGTACGCTCAACAAATAATTTTGCTGCTTGTTCAAACTACTTATTTACAATAATTTGAATCAACAATTCTTAAGAGTTTTTTAGGGGTCAACTTAATCATTTAAATCATTTAAAGTTAAATCTACTCAAATTTGCGGAAACAATTACGTCAATTTAATTGATTTGTGTTGAGACTACATTAAGCAATTATGTGGAAACCAGCATTTTTACAGTGTAGTCTAATTTCATGTACTTTAGGAAATTCAGACAATTCAGGCACAGTTAAAAAGTAATAATATTTGCAGCATTCTTGTTTGAATCCAATTGAATTTTTTTTCCATGCAGTCTAATTCATACATTCATTTATTTTACAAATTCAGGCAACTGATGCACAACAAAAGCAACAGAACCATTATTTTTTTACATACAGTCTAAATTCATGTACTCTTACATATTCAGGCAATTCAAGTAAATATATAATATCCCCAGTTCAAATTACTTGAATTAAAAAATATTAACAGACAATTCAAGCACAATAACATTTGAAGCATTCTAGGATGAAACTTGATTGAAAAATACAGTCTTCGACAATGTACTTTTACACAATCAGATAATCAAAGCACAATAAAAATGATTTTGCATCATTATTTGGTTGAACCCAGTTGATTTCATTTTTTTATGCAGTCTAATCCATGTATTTTTTTTTTTACAAACTCGGGCAACTGAAAATAATTTGAGCAGTCTCAGTTGTAAACACTTGATGAAATTGTTTTTCATACAGTCTAAATTAATGTACTCTTACACATTTAGGCAAATCAAGTTAAGTCTCAGCATTCTCAGTTGAAACCACTTGATTATTATTTTTTCATGCAGTCTAATTTCATGTACTTTTAAAAATTCAGGTAATTTAAGCACATAGCAGTAAAAAATAATATATGCAGTATTCTTGGTTTAATCTGGTTTGATTTTATGCAATTTTTGTTTTTCGAATTCTGGCAATTGATGCACAATAAAACAATAGTAGAGCAATTCCAAGCAAATGTCAACCTTGCCATGAAAAAAATAAGTTTTCACCAAAATACGGAAACCGTATAAAGTATTGTGTGTAAGCATTGAGCAAGTATTTTATAGTACTTAAAAAAAACTCCAATGATTTCAAACTATTATATTTGATTTACCAGTCACACATATCGATATTTCACATTAGTCACATGCATAATGGAGCGATGTCACATCCACAACGACACTTTTTCCTTCATAAATGCAAAAATATAAAATAAAATAAATAATTTTTGTTTTATATAGAGCAGACTCTTATCATTATGATTATCATTATTTATTTTGGGTTGTGTAGTTTAATTCACATAATTTCTACAAAGTATGTTGTATACTGCAAACTCGCTAACTTTTTTTGGTCACATCCATGACGCATGTTTATTTTCCTCATTTAAAATATAAAAATTGCTTACAAATCGATATTTTTCTGATCCCCTAACTCTGTGGTCAGTTGTTCTGGAAAATATAAACAGATTTTTCAATATAAAGTTAACATACATTATGAGTGAATTTATGTTTTGAATTTTTACTGCAAATGTCACATCCATAGCGCTGAAATTGCTCATTAACATTTGATTCACTAGATTTTTTTTTCATACAGTCTAAACTCATTTACTATTACAAATTCAAGCAATTTGACTAAATTAAATAAGATATTTTCAGCATTCTCAGTTGAAACCACTTAACTAACATTGTTTTTATGCGGTCTGATTCCATGTAGCCTAATCTTATAAATGCAGATCTTATATCAAGTGCAGCATAAATAATATTTGAGCATTCTCTGTTGAATTCATTTAGTTTTTAAAACCAACCCTTTTTTCCTTTCCCTCTAACTTCCCTTACTTTTATATTATTAAAGCCATTGCTTGTTAATATTTATGTTATTTGGTTATTCATTTTCACTTTTGGACCTTGCATGATACCCTGCATGTGGAGAGCTATTGTTTTATCAGTTTGCATGCTTTGTGTTTCTTTCTCTCTTCAATCCCCCTGCTGTGCTGAAAGACATTCGATCAAACATTTGATGAGGAGCTTGCCGAGTCATTGCGTCGTATCAATGGCTCACGCAGTGCCGAGCCGGTTTACGGATCAATGGGCCAGCTTGACCAAACTAATGACATGGTAAAGAGCATAGCACTTCATTTCTGTCCTTGCCTTTGCTTATGACATCGGTATACTATCTCTTCCCTTAATTTCTAATCACATGCTCTTGTTTATAGAGTCCGGCCCCCATGAAACAGCATGCCTCATTATTTTAGTAACAATTAGACAGGCGATTCAGATTTTAAAAAAGCCATTTCTGTCTTTTGTGATTAATACATTTACAACCATTGACAAATTTTGGAATCTTACATTACAATTCACCTTTTTTTCCTATGAAGACGACAGAAGGTACTTCGGTTTGGAAAAGCTTATAAGCTATAGCTTTAAAATTAACTCAATCATAAGGTTAATCTACAAATAATACTAATCCTTGACTTTGACCAAGGAAATTATTTTTGTTTATACTTTGTATTTTTGTTGTGATGTTAAACAAAGTTAACATTTACTGAACATTTACGAACAATTGATTTCCGTGTGCTCTTAATTTACAATGTTTTTCATTAATAATTTACTGGAATGCTTTAAGTATATCTTACACTTTTAAAAATGTATATTTTTCAGATAAATTACATTCTCTTTCTCTTTTGCATCTAATCTCTAGCAGCGGTGTCTACTGTATAAGGCTTAATACAGGTCAAATTTGAAGGGAAATCAGTTTAAAATATTACCAATCAATCAATTTTCCAATCATTTCTAACATTACAAGTGACTTAACAATTGTGTGAATTGCTACAGAGTTAATAGGGCTTTTGGAGTTATGTTTTAATAGTAGTAAAGCATAATAATGTTTTCACAGTTGAAAGTGCTTTAAATGTTCAACAATTATTGAGTAACATCAGCTCATTATACAGAGTTTATGAAAACACAAGTCATTGCCATATTTCGAGCAACTGTATCATTGGGCATAATTTTTTTTTTTTAAATAATTACTGTAACTAGTATATAATATTTTAAAGCAGAAGCTAGTAACAAAAAAAGCATAATGCAGTTTAGTTTTATGAATTAAACAATAATCAGAAATGTATCACTTTACAATTTTTAGTTTATGGGTATATGCATTGACTAACACATTTCATTGACCTTTTTTTAATCAAACAACATTAAGAGAACAACATAATGAATGTATAATCATTTTATGTGCACTATAAAAAGTGTTTAGTTGACTTTAGTTTAAAAACGTGAGTAGACCAATTGTCTTAACATTATTAAGTAAACTAAACAATTGTCAAGTGAACTTAACAGTTCCAAGTTAGAACAGAATTACTCAACTTTTTGAAATAAAATCAACTCGTGGGTGGCGCAGTGGGTAGTGCTGTCGCCTCACAGCAAGAAGGTCACTGGTTCGAGCCTCGGCTGGGTCAGTTGGCATTTCTGTGTGGAGTTTGCATGTTCTTCCCGTGTTTGTGTGGGTTTCCTCCAGGTAGTCCGGTTTCCCCCACAAGTCCAAAGACATGTGGTATAAGTTAATTGGGTATGCTAAAATTGAACATATGAGTGTGAATGAACGTGTATGGATGTTTCCCAGTGATGAGTTGCAGTTGGAAGGGTGTCTGCTGCATAACATATGCTGGATTGGTGGTTCATTCCATTGTGGCAACCCTAGATTAATAAAGGGACTAAATTAAGCCGAAAATTAATGAAATCTTGTCACTTTTAAGGCAATGGATTTACTCACTTGTTTTAAGTAATCGCTTCTTTGTGAATATAAACAACCATTCAAATGTTCTGGATCAATAGTAACATTTCATTCGGCAAGAATGCAATAATGCTGTTCTTTTTAACTTCTCTTAAAATATTAAAGGGATAGTTCACCCAAAAATGCATGTCTTCATTCACAGTACTCAACCTTGACTTGTTCCAAACTAGTTTGAAGGTTTGTGTGTACATGTCAAGTTAAGGGTGAACAAATGATGAATAGTTCACCTCTGAACTATATCATTAGTCAGTGATGATGATGCAATAGGTAGGTGTGGCTCCGTGGCTCCACCTTATTTAATGAGTTAATCGTTAACAGGCAAGCTGTTTAGAAAGCATATCAAGGGGCTTAATCACTAGAGCTGCAAAGACATTGTGACATTTTAAAATGTTATAACTTAATAATTTAGGTTTGTTAAAATAAAAAAACAAAACAAAATTAATTTGTGTATATTTAATTCTAACATTGGTATTTAATTAAAATGACAAAATACAAGAGTTCTGAGTATTCTACCTTAAATGACTGTAATGGTCAAATTATCTTAATTCATTTCTGCATTCGCTTTTCCTTTGAATATGTGTGCCTCTTTGTTTGCATAAAGTTGCTAGGCAACAAAAAAATAATCAAAATATGGTATTTGTATAATTATATTTTAGGATGAAGTCAGACATTCAAAGTTTAATTCTACAAATCTCAACAGAAGTTTTGTATACAAATATAATGTGGTAAAAAGTTGTTTTGGGGACAGTCTTAAAGTATATGAACAGTCAAACTGACTGCTATGGCCATTCAAGTAGAATTCTGGTCGTTTCAGTGTTAAACTAACAAACAACTCATGGAACTAAAACAGAGTGCCAATACAGTGAAGATGGTTCACAATATTATATTATATTACACAATTTGCTATGATGGGATGGAATATTTGTATATTTATTTCACTTATATGTATATTTTCTTTTTCTAAGGAGGAGGAGGTGCGGGAGAGCCGGCTGAGCTTTACGCCAAACGCAGGGAAAGACGGTGCTGTGCCCAAAACTGCTAACAATGCAGCCACAACACCATCTGAACCCGCTGTTGCTCCCGGAAAGAGTCACGAGGAAATGAGAAAACTCTTCATCGATCGAGCCAAAAAGATCGACACTGTGTCTCGTGCCGGATTCCCACTGGCCTTCCTGTTTTTCAATATTTTCTATTGGGTTCTATACAAAATCCTTCGCCACGAGGATGTGCACAAGCCATAGAAGGACCATGGTTTGTGGACGAACTGCATATCGCTGAACTCTGGTGAACATTTCCTGCCAAGATCTATGCTGGAGTCTGAAAACGACTGAGAAAAACTGTGATGTCAAGGACCAAATGGCTACATTCAATGGTTTGTTTGTGTTGTACACCCATATAGACACTGCGCTCACTATGCAAAGGATAGACATTTGTAGGGACACTTACACACCTGTCCTGCAACTGAACCAACAGTGGACAGCACTTCTACACATTTTTAATACAGAAGCACAGTCCGACACTGACTACTACTGCCCCCTGTTGAGACAATGTGTGCGTGTGTTTGTCTTACACTGGTTTTTGTTGACTTTGTCGTCTTACAGCTTTACTGCCAATGTTCTGTGTTGTATTTTTCATATACAGCTATTGAATATAGCAGAGTGCAAGAGCAGAGATCAGTATTATAAAACTTTCCACACAATGTGTAATGTTGATTATTTTATAACAAAGTATTTAATAGTTTTTTTTTTTAAACATTACCCTTAATCATTTTCATCACAACATGATCGTCGACCAGCTCTAAAAACCAGCATCCAGGCCAAAAACATTCTGAGCTAAATCTCAAGAATGCCCTTGAACCAGCAAAGATTGTTTTGTTTGTTTACAGCTACCTTAATGGCTTCAAGAAAGCACAATTTGAAAACTTTAATTGCTAGCGTACTGTCAGCAACCACAGAGAAATTGAAACCATCTTTCAAGTCCAGCGCAAGTTTCTCTTAAACAAAAGCATTACTGTTCAAAAACCATTGTTAGTTACGTCAAACAAATGATGCCACTGCAGAATAATTCAGCTGGGAGTGAATTCTGTGTTACAAGTTCATAAATGGAGAAAAGAATTAAAGGAAGGCTGCAGTCTCGGCCAATATGTTATACAAGTCCTCCGACAACGAAAAAAATATATAATTAAGTGTCTCAAAATGATCATTTGAATGGTTTTTAACCTAATCTAATTGCATGTATGGCGATTATTTAACTATAAAATTTAAGTGGACTATAAAAGACTATTTAAATACTGCCTCTAAAGTTCATTTGAGTGCTATTATAAACATACAGATGTGAAGGGAACACATTTTCAGTTTATCCAGATTGACCAGGTATGTTTTAATATTTAAAAATAAATGCAAAAAGCATGACATTTAGATGTTATGCAGTTATCCACCAAATATTGCTTTCTTAATCCATTTAAAGTTAAAACACTGGCAAATACAAACATTTCTGAAAATATGACACCCTTTTGTTATTTTGACTAGATGTAAATGTGATTTTAAATTTAAATTGAGGATATGTGATCAATAATTTGTAAAACAAAAATAAATATTATATTATATTTGAATGCATAACTATAAATTATAAATTCAGAAAGACTGAGAATTTCAAAGTCTCTTATTTTCTCCCATATCTCTGTATAAATCTAAAATTGTGAAATGTTTATTTATTTTGTTGTATTCAGTTTTGTTTTTTTGTTTTTTTTTCAATGATGTGTTAGATAACACTGTTTAAAAACACTGGGACCAGGCTTTTTTTTTTATTTTGGTCATGATGACGTTGATGACCTTTTGTCTGGAATAATTGTCTTTTCTTTTGAAACTAAATGAGTCTGCTGAAAAACTGTGCCATAGAAATTTTCGAAGCATATCTGTTCTCACACATTCCTACGAGTAAATAGAGCAGCGATGTTGTGTTTGAAACATCATCTGACATCAGCATTTGGCGCACATATTATAGAATGGATTCAAGAATCCCCCAGACATTTACAATACAATGCAAGAGCATTTGTAATTTATTTTGTACAAACATAATTAAATGTTATGCATGACCTCAAGTCTGATGTACTTCCTTTTCAGTCAAAAAGAAGCTGTCAGTCAAAATGTTCTTATTGCTATTAAGGCTACAGGTGAGATGCTTTGTTCTTCTATGTACAGATGTAAATACATTTGGCCACTTTTTTGCTTTACAGTGTCGGTGTTATAGACATTACACACTTAGCTAACTTAGCAGTTTAATACATACAAGGCGAGTTAAAAATACACAAACACACAAAACTATATTATTGTCTATATAAAATGGGCTACACTTCTGGAAAAAAGAAAAAGAAACTGTCATAGAAGTTCTTGTTTACACTACAATTACCATTAAAGTATTACAAAGCATCAAATAACCATCAAAACCAGCACATTTTAAAGGGTAAATGCAAAATGAATACCAGTAGAAGCCCCACATTTAAACCAACATAATTTAAATTATATGCAACAATACAAAAAATCAGTTTTGTTTTGTTTTTCTCCTCAGCAGGGCAGTTTCACTTTTATATCATAAGGGTAGTTTCTTCATTCTTTCATCCATTTTTCTTCAGCTTAGTCCCTTTAACCATCAGGGGTCGCCACAGTGGAATGAACCGTCAACTTATCAAGCATGTTTTACACAGTGGATGCCCTGCCAGCTGCACTGCATAAAAACACCCATATACACTCATTCACACACACACACACTAGGGCCAGTTTAGCTTATCCAATTCACCTACATGTCTTTGGACTGTGGGGGAAACCGGAGCACCCGTAGGATAGAACATGGGGAGAACAGGCAAACTTCACACAGAAATGACCCAGCCGGGACTCGAACCACGACCTTCTTGCTGTGAGGTGACAGTGCCAACCACTGAGCTATATAGGTAGTTATATCATATACATATTAAGTTTATAAAATAAAGCTCTGTCTCTTCTTCATTCACATTAATTTACTCTATACGCGTGTTTGTACTTGTACTGTACTTGACGCCTGCCGAGGGCATTAGAGCGAAAGCGCACGCTAAATTGTTAGTTAGCCTACCTATCATCTCTAGAGTGTAAATCATAGTTTGTAAAACGACACTTGGCCGCCTGTGTTTACTGTAGTAGCGCTCATCTACACGCCCACTTCTGACTGTATACATAAAGCGGTGCGCGGTGCTCTCGGCGGGGAACAGCATGAGTCTCCACGGGAAAACGGCTCTGGTGACCGGCGGCGCACAAGGCATCGGGAGAGCCGTGGTGGAAGAACTGCTTCAGAATGGAGCAAAGGTGGCGCTTTGTTAGATTCCTTTCTCGTTTTTTACGAATTTAATTCGGGTTTTAAACTTTGCAAAACTTTTTAGGACTCTTTTAGTTCACTTTACTTCTTATTTTGGGTCTTTTTCCATCATATTTTGGTTCAATATTTGTTTTAGCGTGACTTTATTAGCCTAATCCACTTACTATTTGATAACTCAGGTTGCACTGGTTGATCTGAACCAATCTGTGGGAGAGGAATGTAAAAGTGATTTAGATGACCAGTTTGGAGAGGATAACTGTATTTTCATCCAGTGTGATGTGACGGACGGAGAAAAACTTGGAGGTAAAATCATACTTCTGCTATTATACTTTGTTGTGCTTCGTTTTCGATTTGAATTCGACCTTTCAGTCAAATTTCTCACTGCTATTAAAAAAGAAGCTGCAGGTAGGCTACACGTGTTCGTCTGTAAACCATTCTCTCTCACACACGTAAATAATAAACGCTGTTTTCTTATAAAAGCGTTGAAAAGTAAAGGTTATTTAGCATGGTTCCATGATGATATCTACAGTAACATCTATTGAACCTTCATTCCACAAATTAAGTTTTCACTAAAAGGTACATTGTGGTTCATTCATGATTTTCTTTATTCTGAATGAAGATACTTTGAAGAAAGCAGAGAACCTGCAACCACTAACTTCTACAGTAAAAAACAAAAAACATATAGGCTGCTATGAAAGTCAATAGTTACAAGTTTCCAGCTTCCTTCAAAATATCATCATATGCATTCAACAAACAATTCGAATAAGGTTTGAAACAAGTAAAGGGTGAGGAAATGACAGAATGTTCATGTTTGTGAATTATCCCTTAAATTACAATAACCATGCTTTTTGGGGGATTTTTTGTAGTTATAAGCATATGAGCAAAAATTACTGTCAGTGTTACACATGTAACATCTAAGTCAACAGAAATAGCACTAATAAAATGTATTACCACCACAAAATATTAAAAGTGGCATTTATAATTGATTTGGCATAGGTTGATACAGTATCACTTTCTCATACCTGAAAAATGATCTACTTTTGTGCACCTGCACACACAGCACATCTGATTCCTGAACAGAGTGTCGTTGTTTGCGAAGTTAATTAGGTTTTACATTCACAGGCCCTCGGGCCACCACTGAGGAATGCTACTGAGATTTTGACGTTTTAACACAATCAATTGTTTTGCTTTTAGTTTGTAAGCGGCTCCAATATTTTCTCCATGACAAGAGCATATGGGTCTGTGGATTGGAGATTTTGCATTCCTGCTGAACTTGTTTACTAAAGTCACTTCCTATAGAGTTTAATGAAAAGTTTCTTTGTGGAATGCTGCAGCTGCAGGTCAGGTGAGGGCACAAGCTGGCTGGCCTTCAAATACTAGAAAGCTATCTATCTGAATTCCCCAGGTAGTTTTGATATACCGATGTCAAACTAAATTGCAACTATTGTGAATTAAAAACTTCCTTACTGGCATCAGTGACTCCACGAAGAGCCTTTTTATTCCCTACAAAAATGTACCGAGTGGAAGAAAGTAAAAAAAATAAATAAATAAAAGAGTTTACTCAATTAAAAGGTTTAAGTGGAACAAAAAAAAAGTTTGGTCTTCCTGGCACTTTTATTCTGAATGCTTTTCTTTTTTGTTTTAGATGCCTTTCGAAACACAGTAGACAGGTTTGGTCGATTGGATATTGTCATCAATAATGCTGGAATCAACAATGAGAAGAACTGGGAAAAGACCATTGAAGTCAATTTGGTGAGTCCAAAAAAACAAAACAAAAAACCACGATGCTTGAAATGCAATTACATAAATAATAAGAAAACATAACTTTGATAGATAATGCAAAACTTAATCTCATTTTTATTCAGCACATCTCATGATTCACACAATGTAAGGATCACACTCTGTACCTTTGGGCACAGCATTCACACACATAACAAAAATACTCCACCTCCTACTTCTAGTCCAAAAGATTTCACAATAGCGAATGAAGTGGAAGGGATTAATGCACTTCTAAGTGAACATACGGATCTTTAAAATTATTCATGCTCCACAGAGTGATTTACAGTGTAATAATGTGTGCTAAAGTTCAAGTCAACATCTGTGCAAGTTTATACAATTGTTTTCTTCCAGACATCTGTTATAAAGGGGACATATTTAGCACTAGAACACATGAGTAAAGAGTACGGAAAGCAAGGAGGGGCAATCATCAACGTCTCGTCTATGGCAGGTGAGCTGCTGAAAACTTTACCATGCTTCTTATATATTGTTTTTAAAAAGCAGGTTGTGCATAGCCTTGTGCTTTAAATGGTTATTAGCAACTATAGAATGAGTCAAATGTTTGCTCACACTAAGCAAATATATTTAACCCAGTTAAATTGCTTCTGTTTTGTGTGTTGCCAAGGATCTGTGCTTGCTTTTGTAAAATGAAAACTGCAATTACATCTCAATGTAATAAATAGAGTGCATTTATAGGTCAAGCGGTTGATGATTAAGATGCTAGAGAGTTGGAAAGATCATCATTAAAGGTCATTCAGGCACACCTTTATTTCCATGAAAACAGTTTTCAACATTTAATAGGAGTACAAAATACCAGGAAAGCATAAAGATAATCACAGTATGTTGCAATGTAGACACTTTAACCTGCAAAAGTAAAGGTGCAGTTTTAAAGAAAAAATAAAAAATAAATTTTAAACATTTAAGTAAGCCTTTGGACCACATAATTACGAGTATTTTTATGTATTTATATCTAAAAGTTAGACCCATACATTGGTTTATACAGGCTCTGAAACATTCAATACTTATAACATTGGAGTTATTTATATATTACAGATGTAAAACCCTTACTTTTGAATACTGGAAACACTGAATTGATATTTCGGTGGTGTACCTTTTTAAAAAGTAAGGTTTAAAAATAAATGTTTAAAATGTTAAAAAAATTGAAATAAGGTTAAAATAAAAGTTGTCATAAAATAGTAATAAAATAAATGTATTCTGCTCTGTCACTTCTGTTGCAAGCTCAATTGTTGAATAATTGTTTGCAAATGCAAAGTCATTACTTTACTTTGTGTTTGATTTACTTTTTTCTCCCTTTGCTTTTTTGAAATGTTCCACAGACAACCAAATTATTAAAATGATCCTGTTCTCTCAAATCACTGAGAATGACAGTGAAGTGACTGTAATATTCATGCCAGGCCAGTAGTTGACAATGCTGAGTAATAAGAACATTATGTGCCTGCACACACATGGTCCTGTAGTCCACAAAGGTGTTTTGGCTATCAAGTGCATGTGCATGCCTATAGACCGAATGTGTCATTTTAGCTGTCACCGTTTACACAAATTGGCATTTTGTAGTTTGCACAGAGAGAGAGAGAAATAAACTTTTTTTCTTTTTAGGCCGCAAAAATATTATAATCATGTAGTGAATGTGCTGGTTGTGCCTTCATGAGTAGACAGTGCATTTGATCAACAAGTGTAATGCAGCCACGCCAGCAGATATCAATATGAAGACTGCATTGGAAAAAAGCCAATTTAAAGTAATTCAGAGCTTATAAGGCAACAGCTTTTCCTGTCATATTGAAGATTTCTCAGACAAATGTAACATTACTGGTAATCTTCTTACTTGTGCCTCAAATGACACATTTATGCATTTTCATTAATGCATTTCTGAACCTCAAAGAACTCAATTATTAAGTGCATGAACATTTTAAGTTTACTTATTTTGTCATTCAACATTAAATTCCCCTTTATAGTAAATTATTTTCTGTTAATTAACAGTTCCATATTTTGTGTTTTCTGTATATTTACAGTTGTGAATTGCATTATGGGACCTTGATCTTTGCTTTGTCAATTTTTGATGGTAAAAATTCAACTCTACAGTTTAACAAAGTGACTTTTATTGGCGTATTAGTAGTCTATATAATGTAAAAGAAATAATATATTGAGAAATAAGTCTGTAAATTAAAATAAAAAGTACAGGGCAGTGCACCAACCCAGACAATATATCACAATATTTGACTTTAAACTATTAAAAATGTTAGTCCCTTTTTCAAACTTTTCAAGGTTAAAAATTGTTAAAAGAAAGATCAAAGTCCCATAATGCAATTCAACAGCTTAAAAAAACAAAACATAACAAAATATGAAAAACAGCTAATTTACGGATATTTTTACAGTCTACTTATGCTTTTTATACTAACCAGATTATGGTATAATTGGGATGCACTGCACTGTTTTCTAAATTTTTAAACAGACTTTTATCTTTTAACATCTTTTTAACTTTAGAGCTCAAAAAATACCTCTTCCATCAACAGCATAACACAAGAAAGGGAATCCATCTGCCATCAGATAACTGTGTTTTGGCACCATTGTGCTGAGACATAGATTAACTGATTCTGTGTGTACTGTATTGTATACATAGATATGTGTGTGTGTGTGTGTGTATGATGAATGGTGCCTGACAGTGAACTTCAAAACCCCCGGGTCTTCAGAGAGTTATTCCCTCAGTGCCTCTCAAGTTTCTTGAACTAATGTAATGTGATTGAATATTTGTGATTTTGGCACTTGTTTTTGCATTAGAGTGACATTTAGATCAAGTTAAAATACAGATGCTTGGCTGTTCTTTAATGCTGACAACACTGAAGTTAATGTAGACAGAATAGTTGCACCAAAAACTATTCACCAGGGGCCTCATGTACGAAGACTTGCGTGGAAATCTTACTAAAATATTGCGTACGCACAAAGCTGTAAATGTGCGTACGCAGAAAAAAATTCAGATGTATGAAACACTGCGTACGCCGAATCTCACGCATATTCTTTTGTACATCTGAATGAACGTGAAACTGAGCGCAACATGCACGAGCACAAAACCCCTCCCTGCCTCCTCCCCCGTATGAATATGCTAATGACTATGCTAATGGCAAAACCCAACGAAAAAGCAACAGCAAAATCAAGCAAAAAGAGAAACTTTGAACAGATTGTGAATTGGAGGTGCTGCTTTCGGAGGTAGACCGGAGAAAAGCTGTGTTATTTGCAAGTTTGTTCTCCGGAATTAACAACAAAAGAGAAAAATAGAGTGGGAGAGTTTAGCTGATACGGTTAACACAGTTGGGTCTGAACATCGCACTGAGTGCATTTAAGAAAGAAATAGTGTGGTTTATATCTATAAAATGTTGCACTATCTTTAGTAGTCTCAGTGGCGCAGCTCATACGACGCATGTGTTCATGAACTGACACGTTCGAGCATAAATTCGGTTCGAATCCAGCGTCTGATGAACTCTTTCTTCTTTTTTTTCCCGCTACATATCAGATTTTGCCCACTATTTATCACGAGAAAGACTAGTAGGAATCATCAATAAGTTTGTGCATCATATTTTATTTGCACATTTATTGAATGGAAATGTTTCTGATTCACGCATGCAAATTCATCTTCAGATAGTGTCTTTATAGCAATGTGCGTGCGGTAGATCGCTCAGATTACATTGGGAAAACAGGCGACCGCTGCAAATTGTGCTTTAATGTTTAGCTGCTCAACTGTATGGTATGGAAATCTTACATACCTACTAGATGAACCTGTCTCATACAGCTGCCATTGCAAGGATCAGACACTTTGTAGAGAAGAATTTAACACAACTGCCTCTAGGAGTCGCCAATGGAAATAAAACAGACACGCACAAAAAATGTGCGTACGCCTGCCAGAAAGCTGCCGTGAACCTGCGCACATTCCCACGTTCAGTTCATTGTTAGTAAATCCAAACGTGAGCGATTCTGAGCGTGAAACCTGGCGTACGCAAAGTTTTTGTGCGTGTGTGATTGAGAGCGTGTTGGTGGCTGGAAGGGCATACACAACTTAAACCATAAGCCAGAGTAACTGGCAGTTCATTCCATTGTGGTGAGTGACCCCTGACCCCTGATTGCTACACATTTTTAGAAACCATTCTCAAAAGTGCTATGATTGTACAGCCATCCAGTGCATTGTGATTGGCTAAGTACTCAAGCATGCGACAAATATTATGGCCTTCTCTTATCAATTTGAGGCTGAATCTGTTCCAGAAAATGCAGATGATGAAAACACAGTGTCTCCATGACATGGCGGGGACAGATTGGATCTTATCTTTGCACAAACAAACTTGTAACACTCTCATTATAATCTCATCAAATGACCTCTTTGATAAATATTTCAGCTTGCACTAGTAGCCACATGTTCTCATGTCTGGGCAATTTTATGCCCTTTTTTGTGTCCTTTTTTTGTGTCCTAAAATGATCCTATTTTTCATATTTACCAGTTCCAATGCAGTAATATAAAATCACATGTAGTGATTTTAATTAGTTTTAATTATTAATTTATATAAATTTTACAGGGCTGTTGATGTTTGATTCTGATTGGCTGATGACTATTATCAGGTGTGCAGTTATTTTTAGACCCTGTAAATATAGGTTGTTTTCACATGACGTCATTGATGATGCGCAAGACTCAGATGGAGGGCAGGAGGTGATTCTTCTACATAGAAATCGCTACTAGGAGTTAAAAAAGTAATGTTTTGTGTTGTTTATAATTGTTTAAATGGGCCAAAATAAGAAATGCCAAACAGCTTTTATAGGCTTTCAGTTTTCGCTCGTACAGGGGAAAAGTTCAAGAACTTGGTTTTAAAAGACTGAAATGTGATAAACAATCATTCAATATATTCATGTGTGCAAAAGTTTTTTGACAGCACTATTAATTATTATATTCAGGCCTGGTTTATTATACATTAACGTGTCAGATAAAAATGAGATACAAACACCACCACACTTATACAAAATTCAGAAGAACACACAACAAAAGAAAACTCTGTCTTCGTAACATAAGGATCATGCTATTTTCTCCTTTAAAATGTGACAAAACACAAAAATGTCCCCTTTCCCCTATGTTTCCAATTAGTTTTTTTTTTACTTCCTGTTCTCCATCCGAATTTTGCATGTCACCAGAACCACATGACTGAAAACAACCTATACTGTATGTCTGTGTATATGCATATACTGTATGTATATACACCACTAAATATGTCTAATTTAATTTAACAGTGTATATAGCCATCAAAAATACTGTCAAGCATATTTAGAACAAGAATCATTTGATGACATTTTATTTGATGCATACAGCACTGTATGGCAGTTTTATAAACATTAAGTGTCTAAATCAAATAGTAAAGATTTATACTGTATCATAATTGTTGTTTTAAGTTTTTTTGTGAGCATCATTTTCAGAAACCCCCAACCTTTACTGGAATGAGTCTATTAGAATGCAGCCAATTGCCTGTGTAATTTGAGATAATGTGGCAAAAATGCCCCATCAAATGTGTTGCCTGTATATTCATATCATGTGGGTTAGTTAAATATCACACGTGTAGTTTCTCTCATCTTAGCAGCTTGAATGAAAATAACTGACTTCATGCAACAATTCAGCCACAACAACAACAACAGTTAATATTTGTCTTAGAACATTTTTAGACATAATGGTGTCTGTTTTTACCCTGTTTCACACCAACACAGTGGTTAAGTCAACAGTTTAAAGGTCTAATAATAACAATAATAATAATAATAATAATAATACTTAATTAGCTTTTAAATTATTCAGAAATTTTGACAATCATTTAATGAACAATTCAGTGAATTGTTTATACTGTAAAAAGCAACTTGCCTCTACCTGCTGCAGGGTTGCTAAGTCTGTTGATTCCTGCTACTCCTGTTTTTACATATAGCATCAGTTTTGTTTATATGATTGTGTTGAAAATTTTCTACCAATGATTAAAGCTGCACTTGCTTGATAAATATGCAATTTTGTGATGTGCATGGGGCACTTGAGGAGAGACTGTATGCAGCTGATAGCATTTATATGGGAATAGATTTACAGAACTCCACAGGACTGCTGTTAAATAATAACTAAAATATATATGTGATCTTAAGAAGAAAGTCTGTCGATTTGGTTTAATTAATGATGATTAAAAAAGTAATGTTTCTTCATAACACTATATAGTAATTATAAAGATTGAGTTCTTTTCAAAAACAAAAATGTTTATAATTCATGCTGTGAGGAAACAAAAACAGAAAAGTAGGAATGGGTGATAACATATTTTGAGTTTTAATAATATTGGGCTGTACGTTTTGCCTGTTTTTGACTAGCCGTTGGGCTAGTTTTGTTGCAAAAACCTGGCAACCCTGACATACGTCACAAATTTAAAAATGAATCACCCAGAGTTGTGTCTGATATTGTTTCATATTTGCCAGCATTACAACTGAACCATAATTAAACTGATCATATCTAAATCATTAAACGTGTATAATGAAGATTATAATTCAAATTATATACTTTTATTTTGGCCTTTAAAACATAATTGATACAAGTAAAAAAAAATCTACTGAATAAATCTTTTTTTTCAACATTTGCTAAACTAAAAAAAAAAAAAATAATTCATTTTTTCTAGTTTTCTCTTACTGTACGTACACTACAAAAAAGTTGGATTGTTAAGTATGTATGTTTAGTATGGATAAGCCCAACCATTGGGTTTTTGAATTCATTTTAACCAAATGGTTGGGTTTGTCAATAGTATTCCAAAATTATGTTAAAACAACCCAGCAAATTTTAATTGTAACATTAAGGCCTAATCCTAATTCTGTTTTTTACCCCTTCCCCTTGGCCCTTGAAACAGAGTAGGAAAGGGAAGGGCTTCAAATTTTACCCCTAAGAAATGGGACAGCTCTACAACACCTGCACACATCATGATATGTCATCGCGATCTCTTGCTTCATATGAGACTGATGACAGTGACTGCTGTAGTTATTCCAGTTGTGTTATTTTTTGGTATTTATCTTATAAATCACCAAAGGCAACAATATCATGTTATTATAACGATATAATGTGGCTATAAGCTTGTAACTGTCCTGTGCATTTACACCGTGGCCATATTCATCAATGTAAACGCACCAAAACTAACATAAACATTATACTGTAAAAAATCATTCCCATCTACTATTGTGGGACTATACAAGAGTTATTATAGATTATAGATGACAACTTTATTTTATTTTATTTTTTTTACAAAGGCAGTTATTATTGTATTAAACATATGCTTTTTTTGCTGTAAAATAATTAGTAATGACAAAAAAACTTTTGACTTCCGTGTGCAGCCATCTTGCCGTTGTAGATGGTGTAATTCTGGGAAATTTACTTACTTCTTGGTTTCAAGTGTAGTCCTGAAAAATCTTTGTTTCGAGGGATATCTACCCCTACCCCTTAGCTCTATGCCTTTAAGCTAAAGAGTATTGGGACAACCCTACCCCATCACTTGAAAAGGGGAAGGGCGAAAAGGTAGAATTGGGATTGTGCCTGAAAGCACACAACAGTTTAACAATAGGCATTTCACTCCATACAGAGAGACACTTTTTTCGGCCCTCAAACCTTTAAAAGCATTTAAGGATAGAACTGAAATAAGTATATGGTGGGTTTTTGCAGCTATGCTGAATGGAAACATGTCTTGGTAAGATGATCTCATTGTTTGCGTTACTTTATGAGGATCTTACCCCTTAATTAGCATGTTTACAGACAAGCAGGCTTGACGAACGTCTTCAAGATATTAATGTAGTAAAATGGGAAACAGAGGTTCTCTTTGTGTAAAAGTGGGTTAATGACTGGATGTACATTAAATGTTGTGTTTAGATGTGTTCATCCAGAACACACAAGGACTGTTTAATTTAAATACTGTCTCAGCTATTTGCCCCCGGCGTCTTTGGCTTCCTTGGTTTAATGCAGCTTGTAAATGTTGTTTATTATAACAGCGTCTGAATGCTCCATTTGCTCCAACAGAGTCTGAAAATCTATTGGAATTCTCCAGTAACTCTCTATATTCATGAACTGCATTTATTCATAACATGCAATTTAACAAGATAATAGAGAAAGAAAGAAAAAAAAAACAGGTGATTTTGCTACAGAAAGGTGGATGTTTAAGTCTGTAAAGCATCAAACTGCCCTATAAAGTTTCAAATATAAACTGAGGAAATTGTTCTTTTTCTAAAGACGCACTGTGCTTTCAGTCTATTTGATCCATTGGTTCAAACAGACTGAAAAGCCACTAGATTTTCATGCTTGAATTGAAGGAGAAATCTTCAGCCTTGGAAGATCCAGGGATTTTCCATGACGAAGGTATTGGAAATCATTCACAGGCTATGTTTTGTTGAAGTCTCAATGAGATGAAAACCTTGCACTTGTACAAATAACAGATTGTAATATCACAGCCCAGTTACAAAACATCTCATTTAGACAAGCTGGAATGATAATGTTCTCACACCTTAAAAAGTGATTAGTTAACTAATAATTACATTAAAGAGTGGGTGAACCTGCTGCTTTTAAAGCAATTAGTTGACTTTACATTAAGTCAGTTGGTAAATGATTATGTGCATAATTACTAAAAATAAGACAGCAACTAATTTTTACAGTGCATGAACTTTCAATAAATAGAAATAACTCATGTATACATCTTTTACTCCCCTTCATGTTCAAAACATTTTCTTTTTTTTTTCTGTGGGAAAACAAACGAAAGAAAAAGTGAAAGAAAAAAAAGGTTTACAGTTAATGAGCTGTTGCAAAAATGACAAAATAGTGCACATTTAAAATAAATAAATCTCTTAGTTTAGGGCTCACCGCAGTTGTCAAAAAAATAAATAAAATTGAAATATGACATTTAGTCAGAATATCCAATTTTCCCAGTTGTTGTGATTGAAAAACCAAGGTTAATCTACCAAATATTGATGTCTTATCGCTTCTGAAGTTTAAAAATTGGTACTGTGTGGTCAAAAATCTTCTTTTGTGGAGAAAAAAGGCTATTGGTTGGATTTTGTTTTATTTAGTAAACTACACATGGCATTACTTCCAACTCTATTAAATTAAATTAGTTGTCTTTTTTGTATAAAATTTCAATTCACTGTATGATTAGTCTGCAGTCAAATGTTTTCTACACTACCTGATAAAAGCCTTGTCATTGATCCCAGTTGTAAGAGCAACAAATAATAACTTGACTTCTAGTTGATCATTTGGAAAAGTGGCAGTAGATTTTTTTTTTTGATGAATCATCTGTCGAACTGCTTTCAAATCCTCACAAAAGACCTATTGGGACCCACATGGACTGAAGATTCTCACATGGTGAAAGAAAAGTCATGGTTTGGGGATTACAGTGTGGGGGTGTGTGAGAGATCTCCAGAGTGGCTGTCAACATCAACAGCCTGAGGTATCAGGATAGTTGTGCTGCCCATTACATTACAAACCACAGGAGAGGGCAAATTCTTCAGCAGGATAGCGCTCCTCATACTTCAGCCTCTACAACAAAGTTCCTGAAAGCAAAGGTCAAGGTGCTCCAGGATTGGCCAGCCCAGTCACCAGTTATGAACAATATTGAGCATGTCTGGGGTAGGATGGAGGCGGCATTTAAGATGAATCCAAAGAATCCTGATGAACTCAAGAGTCCTGCAAGAACACTTTCTTTGCCGTTCCAGATGACTTTATTAATAAGTTATTTAAGTCAATGCAGAGATGCATGGATGCAGTCGTCCAAGCTCATGGGAGTCAAACACAATATTAATTATTTTTCCACAGAAGTGTGTCTTTATGTTCTATACTGTACATAATTCCTGTTCAGAGTCAAGACTTTTGTCTAAGCAAAGTCAAACCTTAGTGTCCTAATTAAATCATTAAAAATCAAGGCCTGATCATATTTTATTTTGGTATAATAAGCATAATCTAGAGGCCTTTGTCTTTCAAATAAGCCACTTCTGGTTCCAAATGATCAACTAGAAGTCAAGTTATTATTTGCTGTTCATAAAACTTGGATAGACAACAAAACTTGTCAGGTAGTGTAGAGAGGAAGCTTTCTTCTGAAATCACTTACATTTGGGCCTGCTTTTTACACAACAAGCTACAGCACAGTTACAGAAAGGTTTCTAATAAATCTGCTTAAGTCATACAGGTTACTTAACATAAAATGTTTGTATGAGTAAAATATAAAGTAATTTTTTATTTGTTTCTCCCCAGCTTTTCTCCATTCTCCTCACCAGCCAGTGTACACAGCGACGAAGTATGGAGTGATCGGGTTTTCACGAGCCATGGCAGTGAGTACATCAATCCTCTCTACATGCAAATCCCTTTCCCTAAAATATGGCACATTCCTACACCTGACATGCAAACCTGCCGACCCAGTGCGCATTTTACAGCCCAGCATTCCCCCCCAAAGAGAGAGTAGTTGTGTTTGTGCTCACAGATAGGATCTCCTACCCCTGTATGTTGACACATTCTTTGCGCTGTGTGTGTAATTTAGGCTGACCGTGTTTGGACACGTTTTGTTGTCGGCAGGACGCATCTGAACAGGGCAATTACGGAGTGAGGATCAACGCACTGTGCCCGGCCTTTGTGGACACACAACTCCTTCAGACCGTGGAGCACGAGGAAACAATGGGCAAGTTTGTCAAGTACAAAGATGATTTCAAACAAAGGATGGACAAGTATGGTGTTCTTAAGTAAGCAGAGTTTACTACCTTAAATACCGCTTTCTTCTGTGAGGGATTGCCTTCTGTTTGGCTTTGCTTTGTTATTTTAAGTCACATGAATAAACTGTTTGTTTGGGCAGACAGCAAAAGATACTGTAGATAATGCAAATATGTTTCTAGTCCAGACTTTCAACTGCTGAAAAGACATCAATGCTTTGAAACCTACCATTACAGGAAAATCTAGACATGAAGATTTAATCCGCCCTTAATCAGTGGGTGGTGCAAAAGGAATGTTGTGCTTTTGAGGATTTTTGATGTGTGCTTTAAATCAAACTCCTTCACCTCAACAAATAGTCTACAGTTTTATATAGATGCCACTTTTTTATTCTTTTGAATTTTGAATAAGTAGTACTATTGTTATAGTGCTGGCAGTGCATACTGTATAAAGGTTGTAGTATTTGATTTTTCACACTTTCTTAAATAGATGTTTTGGGGTTATGTCTCTCTAGGCACATGAGAGAGGATGCATTTAAAGTTTTAGTTTGTTGGCAAGAACATTGACAGGATTAGTTTGGTGACATGAATCTAAACCTCTCGGGAGTTGTGTGTAATGACTTTGCATCTTCTTGGACACTTTTAATGCTTCTGCACTGTAAATATTTAGCTGTATTTATAAAGCATCCGAGTCTTGAGGTCAGTCAACTTAAACTTTATTGCCACGTCACAACATGAGTGAACATACAGTGGAAGGAAATGTTGTAACAGAACCACTGTGCTACATAAATAAACAACGAGGACGAGCTACTCAGAACCTACTGTATATATTTAACTAACATACTAGAACGGTAATCTAATGTGCTACTTCTAAAAACTACTAACTATACATATACTATATGTAACTATGCACATATCCTAAACCAGACTATACAAGTACTTTTACATGAGACAGAACAATTCAGTGCAAGATAATGTGCAAAAGAAGTATTTAAGGTTGAAGAAAACAAGTGATGCAACATGATTTGTGGTACATTCACATGTAAACATCGTTTTCTTAATCGAGTCCTTGTAAGATAGAGTTTAAGTGTATAGTGAATATAGAGAGAAGACCATTTCTACAGGTGGTTTGTCAAGCACTCTCACCTGTGTGTAGCACACTTAGGGGCCATTCACATAGAATGTGTTTTTCCATTTCCGTACAATGTGCTACCTTTCTGTTTTTCAATGCAAACATACATTTAACAGGTATGTTTGACTGCTATGTTCGCATCTTGCGTCTTTTAAAGTGCCGTGCACATGATCTTCAACATTCACATGCAGAGCAGCTCATCACTGTTAGTTGGACCACTTAAAAAAGGTTGGAGGTGGGGTAAGCGTTGTGTTACAGTAGCAAGATGGCAGTTTTATTTTATGTTCTATCATAGCGAAGTAATCACTCATTGTGGATACATCCAGATATCCTGAGTTATATTAAGTATGTTCAAGTGCTTATAACATATTGTTCTCCTATTTCTAAGGGGTCCATTATTGTCATTATTACATCATGTTCATAATATCACATTAAAAGGATCTTGCGCTACGTTGAGCTGTTTTTAAACACGTTCCTGAGTGCAGCATCTCAAGCTTTTAGAAGCAAAGACGCATTCGATGTGAATGAGCCCTTAGAAATGCACATTTTTAAAGGCATACGCAATGATTGTAAGAAAGTGTCTGGTGCAAATGTGCACTCGTACTAATGTTTTGCACAATTTATATGGAAGGGGATAATAATCACAGGACTGATTATTCTAGATTATTCCAAAAGGTTAAAGATAAAACTAACATAAGTTACAAGTGGTAACTGCAGGATGAAGGCAAGTAACATAGTAAACGTAACAATTAAGCACACATTTTTTTTTTTTACTAAACTAAAAAAGTACTCACTTTTTAAACTAATTAATAGTACAACTGCAGAGAAAAAAAAAGTACCCAAATCAATTTGAGTATTTGTGAATACTGGTTCTTTGTAAAACACTGGTTCTTACAGATTAAAGCATAACAGGTTTATCACTAACCCAATGCAAATCAGAGGCTTTATTCTTCCAAAACAGATGTACAAGATGGTGCCAGTCAAGAACAGTGTGTGACATAAGCACATAAATACATACATGAATAACTCAAAAATGGTCAAGATGAGCCAGGACCCGGATAAGCCAGTGTTATTTCTTTCAGCGAAAATAATAAAATAGTAACATTTAATTATAAGCCAAAAATCAACCCTTTTTTATGCAACCTGTCTATTTTGTGAAAATAAATATTTTCCACTTGGCCACAAAAAAACACAAATATAATTTAATTATACAGTTCTGACTGGGTTTAGTTTTATTTATTTAATAAATTTCACCTAAACAAATTAAAATTCAGCAATTATTTCTATGTGCATATATAATGATTTTGATATAAAATTTGTCATACTATCGTGGTCAGAAATTAGTATTTAAAGAGAAAAAAAAAATCATCCTTGGCTTTAGTTTAGATTTTTATTGTATCTATATACACAAATTTATTCCTTTAGTGAAAAATGTTTACAGCACTAGTATTTGGACAGAGAAGTTCAGTTATTCTTGCTTCACATACAAGAGCCATGTCTTCATTCTTGCTGCCACATGGCTTATTGCAGCTTCTGCAAGAGCCAAATGAGATTTATTCTTGCACATCAAGAATTTCCAATGTTAAGACATCAATAATGTACTAAATTAAACCTGTTCATCATGCACTTTGACCTTTGAAGCATCAGATTTCAGTCCTTTGGGAGTTTCTTTTTCTCTTGAACAAAACTGAAGATATTATAAAGAACATTGGAAATCGCTAGCCATTGACATACTCAGTATAAGTCAATGAAAAAAAAATCCATGATACACCACATGCTTCAAAATATCTTCTTTTGTACAGTATTAGCAGTAAACAAAAACAGCAAATAGAAAGGTTCGGAATCAACCATTAGAGCAAAAATAAATATTTGTTTGAACAAATACTTAATGAACATTCATTTAAATGTAAACAAATTATTTAATCTGCCCCTCCAGGATTTTACAGGAGCGTTGTTTTGATATCAGAGGCCGAAAAGGACTTATTTTGTGAATTTTCTCAAAGAGTATAGCATTATATGCATTGATCATTGTGTTTTGTTGTGAAAACACACACACATCTTGTAAAATTTTGCTTTATTTGACAATTAGACAAAATCTTGGAGGCACTGATTAAATTGTACAGAAAATTGACATCTGCTTTTGTCTGTGTGTATCTACAGGCCATCGCTGATTGCAGAAGGAATGCTGAGACTCATAACAGATGAAAGCCTCAATGGAGCTGTGATGAAAATCACCTGTTCTAAAGGCATTCACTTCCACACCTATGAGCCTCTGTCAGCTTGATTCATACCTTCAAACTGGAGCTGTTCATCTTTTTTCTCTTCTCTTCGTTTATTGAAGTGCCTCAAACAACTGGTTGAACAAACCAAACCTTGCTGTATACCCAGTTACAAAAAAAAAAAAAAAAAAAGAGAAGGTATGCAGTGGTCTACATTTGAATCGGTTTAAAGCTTTAATCAGAGTTGTTATAAAACTATTGAACAACACCCATTCTTATCTTTGGACAATTTCGATCCCCTTCACTACAGTAGCTTCCAGTTTATGACTTCACTCAATTAAAAAGGATTGCATAGTGGTATCTTAGGCCTCTTTCTAACTGGTTTTCTTTTTTGCAAAGCCCTTGAACATTTTGTACATAATTGCCTTAATTGTGAGCAATTCCTTGTGACAATAAAATCATATTTATTATCATTAAGTTACTGTTTTCATCATGCATTCACATATAACATATATATATATATATATATATATATATATATATATATATATATATATATATATATATTTTGTTTTTTTTTTGTTTTTTTTACACATACAAACATTCTTGATCATAAAGAGATTTTATATACCATTATAGAATTTTGAAAATGTTTTTACTGCAATGTTTCTAATTTTGTATTATTTTTTAAAGGTAAAATAGCAAACATGGGTAAAAATGTTCCACTATAATATATATAAAAATATAACATCTAATTTTGACCTGTACTTAAAATATATACAAACATAATAGTCACAATTATTAAGTTTTATTATGTTAGAAATTATATTAAAATAAAACAATTTGCTGACAGATGGATAAAACCTAGTGGAAATAAACAAATATATAAACATTGTTACACTAAATTGCATTTTCATGGGTGTTTTTTGTAAATCTAGATAAAAATATTTGAGTCGTGGGTCCCACTTTAGATTAAGTGGTCTATTGTAACTACACGTTATTTACATATACAAATAAGTCCAATTTATTTTGTTCAGCTTGTGCTGTACACTACTTATGGTTCTATTGAGGTGGTATGTGTGAATTAAGGTGTAAGGGTCGAGTCAGTAGAGTACTTATATATGTAATTACAGAAAATAATTACATGTAATTACATAAAGATCTTTTTTTTAATATAAATACAGATTAGAAACATGCATATATATGAGTAAATGCTACCTAATTATTTATTCAAATGCAAGTGCATAGTAACTAAAGCCACACAGAGTTTTTTTTTTTTATTTGCTCAGAAAATTAATATAATAAATTAAACAAGACAAAATGTAATGGTGTGGGAGATAGGGCTATATTATATAGCTATATTAAAATCCTTCTTTTACCTATCAGTATTACCACTCAAAAAGAAATCTACTTTGCAGTCTCAGATATATGTTCTTCTTTTTACCCACCTTTTCCCCGTCTGCATTATAAAACTTGTTCTGGAATGCAAATCCAGAAACAAGTGTCACCTGGCAGCTGTGTTTACAACCATGAAGATGTAAAGTCCGAGAATCTGCACAACTGCCTTACTGCACTACCAGAAATGGAAAACTCCTGCCTTCTTAATAAAAGTAGTTTATACTATCTTCTATTTCCAGCAATATTTCGTTTTTTAAAACTATTTTAATGTAAAATAAGAAAAAAAAATCATGAACTGACTTTAATGCAGCCAAAGCAAAAACATACAGTAAGTTTCAAATGGTTTGGTAACGTACACAATGTTATAGATTCTCAGAAATAAAGATACGTGAGCTGTCACGGGGTGGTACCTTTTCAAAAGGTCCAAATTTGTACCTAAAAGGTCCATATTAATATCTCAAGGGTACATATTAGTACCTCAAAAGTACAAGTGTTCCTCTTAAAATAGTTTGGTACTAATATATACTTTTGAGGTACCTATATAGACCCTTTAAGTACAAATGTGTACCTTTTAAAAAGGTACCACCTCTGTGAAAGCTTGCATTTCTAAGAGTGTATAAAAGACATCACAACAATATGTTGATAACTCAAAACATGACTTTTCTGTGTTAAATGCTTCATTTGCAAAGTCACTAAGGAGCTGTTTACACCTGGTCACTTCATGCATTTGTTTCTGTTCAGACAGATATGCAATCGTGAAATGGAATTGCATTCGAGATGGATATACAGTTGAATTAGCCCTCCTTTGATTTTTTTTTTCTTTTTTTAAATATTTTCCAAATGAGCAAGACATTTTCACTGCACTTCCGATAAATTTTTTTTTCGTCTGGAGAAAGTCATTTTTCATTTCTTCAAAAGCCATTGTAAAGTCAAAATTATTAGCCCCTTCAAGCTATTTTTTAATAGTCTACAGAACAAAGCACTGTTATACAACGATTTGCCTAATTACCATAACCTGCCTAGTTAACCTAATTAACCTTTAAATTGCTCATAAGATAAATACTAGGGTCTTGAAAAATATCAGGAAAAATATTATTTACTGTCATGACAAAGATGAAAGAAATCAGTTATTAGAAATGAGCTATTAAAACTATTATGTTTAGAAATGTGTAGAAAAAAATCTTCTCTCCGTTAAAAAGAAAAGGGGGAAAACATGAAAGGGGGCTAACAATTCTGACTTCAACTGTAAATCCGATCCCTCAGACCACTTCAGGATGTGGTCTGGGATGCATTCCAGATAAAACTTAACAGGACTAAATGCATCTGGTTGTTGAAACCACATGTGTAAATTTTACTTCTCAGAAAAAAAAAAAAAAAAAAAAAAAAAGAATGAATAAAATAAACATAAGAGCGCACATGTTCTGGACTATATGACCATCAGATATACAAGCGCAAATGCATAGTTACGAAAAGCCACAGATTTTGTTTTATTGAAATTTTTTGAAATGTTGACATCGAATGGTCAAATGAATATAAGGTGGCAACTTTAACAACAGAGACATAGCATGCACCTGTAGCCTATCTCTGTGAAAAGAGAAATAATAAAAACATAGACTTTTATTTACAAAGGCACATTGTTTTGTTTATGGGAGAGTATGTTACACCTAAATTAATTTCAACTTTACGGTTTTGAATGACTGACACATCTTTGTGTCAGTACCAGATGTTTAATTTGGTCTGTAATGAAAGTTATCATGAAGTTTGTCTGGTATACTTGTAATGATGCTTACAGCCTGCATATAAAAAGCAAATAAGATATATAGCTTATGTTTCTATTAATATAGTTAATTCTACTTAATAATAATAATAATAATAATAATAATACCATATACTTTTAAAATAATATGTATTAAATTAAAATGCGTACCTGATGCTTTCATCAATATAACCTAATTAAATTTGCATGTAGTGCAGGATTTAAGGATCGGAATCATATCAGTTTAACAGAGACGCATTTGTAGATAATTGTAAATGGAAACTACAAATCAGATAGCTAGTCGACCATAAAAAAAAGCATAAAGTGGTCATGTGGTCAGTCAAACATAACTCCAGGAGTGGCTGTGGCTGCGTCCGAAACCGCCTACTACTCAGTAGGTACTGCATTTGAATTTAAACATACTACTAAGTCGATAGAAAAGTATGTTCTATACAGTATGAATGTGAAACGTATGAATGGAATTCAGACATACTACATCCTCCATTTTGTCATGGTCACGTGACCTACCTGTGTCAGTTGCGTTGCTTCACTCCTATTTATGAATTATTTCGCGGGGCATCATGGGATAGCGCAGCGTGCATGGGATGCGCACTCCAGAATCTCGCCGGAATTAGTAAGCCATCTGGGTACTTCTCACATACTGATTTTCGAATTTTATGAATTCTTACATACTACTTAGCTCGCATACTGATTTTAGTGTACTATATAGCATGGAAGTATGTGACTTCGGACGCAGCGACAGTTTTGCACAGTTTAGCTTTGATGCTAATTGAACACACCTGATCAAGTTTATTAAGTCTTTCAGGGTTGTAGGTATGTTAAAGGAGGGGCTTTGACACCCCATGCACTAAACAAACATGTAAATAAAACTAGTACAGAACGTTCTAGATGACATGGGCGTTACTAGCAATCATATAGTCATCATTTACTCACCCTCATTTGTTTCAACCCCATTCTGGTTTTCTCCTGATGAAAAGTATATTTTGTAGTGTTGGAAAACTGCTAGGCATTGACTTCCATGGTATTCTTTTTCTTACAATAGATGTTGATGGCTAAAAGTTTCCAACATCATCTTTTTTATGTTCAACAGAAAAGAGAAACTCAAAGGTTTTAAAACTACATGAGGCTGAATAAATGAGCAAGTTTGTCATTTCTGTTTGAACTATCCCTTTAAATCTGACGGAATGTGCAAGTATGTCACATGTGGAGATATCACTGTAATCTTACATAGGAATCTCTGTGATGTTTAAAAAAACGCCAAGAAACATGACATTGATATGACTGCATGATAACGATATGAATGTCTGTGTGAATAATGGAGGAACATCGGAGGAACTCTTGAAGAATCTGCATGCTTTCTATTCTCTACAATCAGTTTTTTATTGAATTATTGTAAACATTTTCATCATGTAACTAGTAAAATGGTAAGCAACACTTTCTGTATACACTAGTCTCTATAACACAATTAAAATGCACACCATATTGGTATAACAATTGTTAATGCTCTTTTTAACATACCAGGACATTGGCAAATATATATATATACTCTAAACAGTTTTATTTATTTATTTTTTTTTGCATTTAAATATTACACTCTATTGCACAGTCAATTTCTTTAAGTCTTTCGTTCACTCCTGATGAAAGGTTAAATACATGAGTAGATGAGTCTGTCGTCAGGTAGAACATAAATGGAAAAAAAAAAAAAAAAAAAGTTGCACGAGTCGCTAGAGATATTATGTACTTCCTGTCATTAAACTCTCCAAGATGTTAATGGATAGTAATGGATATGCGCTGCTGCTATTGCTTTGATTATTGATACAGGGAGCACGTACTGCCAGTATATTCATCGGTTTTATGTCTGAGAATAAAAAAACACTGCTGCTGTAAACATACCATAGATGTATATCCCCATAGCATGTCTATACACAGGTGGACATGGGGTGGAGGAGGGTCTCAGAAAATATGCTGTATACTGCTAACAAACAATACTGATATTGTGTCTGAAATTGCACACTTCCTTTACTATAGTACGCTAAATAGCATACTAGTACGTACTGCAGCATACTTTTATTAGTGGAGAAGTAAATTCAAATTTAAATGTAGGACTTACTGAATAATGGTGATTTCGGAGACAGCCTGAGGTATTTCAATGTTAAGGAGAGGAAGCTCATTGCCTGCTGAAGTAACAGCAACCAATTGGCCACATTTACCACAGCTAAATGCAGATACGGTAGTAAGGACTTTTTCAGCCTGTGTCCCAACAGAGTCACGATAGAACTTTGTATTCATTCACAAACTATCA